GAGGCCCCTCTCAGCAGGCGGCTCCAGCAGACACTGAGTGGGTCCCAGACCCTTCCCGGCTCCACGTGGCCACATCGCTGGCCCAGGGCCAAAGCCTCTCCCACCCATGTCCTGCCCAGGGCCGCCCAGAAGCCAAGCGTTCAGGGTCCCCATCTCCCCGGAGCTGGGAGGGCCAGTGCTGAGGAGCCAGTGCTGGCCAATGATGGTCAGGAGCCTGCCAGGGTGCGGGAGGCAGCTGTGCCTACACGGCCGATGCCACTCGCCTGCCACTGTCAACATGGCAGGGAAAACCAGTGCACACAGGCACTGATGTCCCCAAGGGATGAGCCCGGGGAACTAAGGGCAAGTGGGCCAGGCATAGCGCCACGTGGGCTTGACGTGCCCGAGCGCTGAGTGTGGAGCTGGCGAATCTTGCCTCCCCATTCATGAGGAACAAGCTGGAGAAATTCAGCCCGGCCACCTTACTGACCTCTGCCCGGCGACGGCAGACGGGGGCCTGCCTACCGAGACCGCCGGTGTCCTCAGGGAGAGGAGGCACGTGGCTCGGGCCACAAACTCCCTCTCCCATCCGGCCTCGCGATCTCCAGGGTTGGCCCTCCTCGTGACACTCATCCTTGCCACGTCACATAACTGTGTTTGTGGTACATTTGAGGTGCATCTGCTGAGTGAATGCTCTATTTAAAAAGGCAGTATATTAAGGCTAACCTACTGGGGTTCCCTAAAGTGTGTAATATTTTACCTGGAATAAAAAGCACCTATAGTTTTCTAAAGTGGAAGACAAATTTTCAAATGAGAAAGAGTTTTCAACCAGTCCATCATGAGATCTAGAGTTTATTCCTCTGGGAAGAACGCAGACTCGGACGCGGCTGAACCTACACACAGGCGTCCACAGAGCAGAGCAGAGGGTGACCGGGCTGCAGCGCAGACGCCGGCTCCTTCAGCTCCACAGGTTGTGCTGTCACCGCGGGAAGACGCTGGCCGCCCCACACAGCACGCGTCCTCCACAGCAGGCTGTGTGCACGTACAGAGCCGTGACAAGCGCCCCCTGCTTCCCCGTCCAGGTGTGGCCGAAGATTGCCGTGAGGTCCTGGACGGGGCCGAGCACAGCAGGACGTCCTGTCACCGCAACAGCAGATCAGGACCAAAAGTGTCCACGCACCACCCAGTGTAAGGAGAAGGGGCAGCCCCCACGGGCTCTAGCAAAGTGTCGATTGAGAAGCCTCCTCGTCCACACAGTGCGGACAGGGACGCAGGCACGGGGTGGTGGCACTATGCGGGGTGGTGGCCGAGCTGCTCCTGGGAGCCCCTCTCACAGCAGGCCAGAAACCTCGCTTCCACTTCTAACGTGTGTCTTTAGGGGACAGTCCCAGCCGCCAGCCACACTCTTCACTGAGTTTTGTGAGCACACCGAATCCATACTTCCATTTAGAGAAACACCCGTGACCACCCGAGGTCAGGACGCCCACAGAAACCCCCCTGACCCCTGGTACCTGGCCACACCGGCCGAGCAGGCCCAGCACAGGGGCTGCTGCTGGCGGGCAGGTGAGTGACAGCCACCCTGCGGCAGGGTTCTGGAGGCAGAGAGCACAGTCCTTCCAAGTCACCCGGCCTTACTTACTTGCTCAAGACAAGCACTCTTTTTTTCAGCCTTGAGACGACAACATTGAAAATGCTAGCTCTCTAAATCTTAACGGTAACACACGCATTTTTAGAAATTCTCAGGGACTTGCTCGGCGGTGTCACTGGACCCAGGACAAATCTGCTGTGGGCGCCCTCTCCCGAGCAGTACATGAAACTGGCATAGCCACCGAGCACCTGCGTGACCCATCCTGACCACACGTGCCCTCAGCTGCGGCCTGACGCCCTCCATGCAGAGAGGGCAGAGGCAGCCCAGTTACTATGATTACTGAAGGAGACGGTCACACTGAAATACCTCATTACACAGACGATCACAGGGCAGAGGGGTGACTGACCACAGCGTTTGTTTTTTTATTAGGAGCCGGTGGGCAGCCCTGGGTGGACGGCCCCGGGTGGGCAGTGGAGTGGCAGAGAGTCAAAGGTGAGCAGGGGGGTCAACCCCGGAGGTACCTGGTCTCGGAGGTCCAGCCGAGTCCTGCGGGGTGGGGGGCGGCGGCAGTAAAGTGCTGTTGGGGCTGCTGATGTCCCCCTCCCCAGTGAGCGTCAGGTCGGCCACGTGCTCGCCCTCCACAGTCTGGACGCCCCCGGCCTCAGCTTCCTGCGCGTGGGGTGTGGGGGTGGTAGGGGTGCAGAAGGGTGAGCCGTCGGCCGAGCCGGGGCTGGTGGCCGGGCTCTCGGGGTGGTCTCGCGGCCAGGGCGCCTCCTTGCTGGTGCTGCTCAGGGAGCTCTTGCTGGAGCCTTTGGCCACAGCCGTGCAGGGCAGGGCGGGCGTGGTGGCGCCAGGAGGTAACCGCAGAAACTCGGGCAGGACCAGGTCCTCCCTCCTCAGCAGCCCGCGCTGGTCGTCTGCTCTATTGCTCTGAGCTTTGGAAATGAGCTCAAAAAACGCTATTGGAAGAAAACCCACATTGACCAAGTTTTAGAGCATTGCACACTCAGGCACACCACAGCAAAAATGCACCGTCTGGAAGGTTCTCATCTCGCTGCCCTACTGCCCTGGGACCACAGGCCGTGGCCAGGAGGCGTGTGCACCCCACCACCTTCACCCTCAGAGCTGCGGGAAGGCCCGGGCTTCCGGAACAATCTGACACAGCTCTCTACCTCCCTGGAAATCCTGTGTGACTTGAATGATCCCAAACCTCTGACCTAACATGGCTGCGTGCTGATGGTGTTTCAGCAGCACGTTGCCTGGACTCTGGCGGGGTGCTGACTACGCTGGGAGCTGCCCTTCACACCCAGTCCCAGCTGCCTTCCTAGGATGAAGGCGGTGACCTGCCAGACACTGAGGCACTGGGGCTGTGTGAACCCGTCTTGACAAGGGAAGGGGGCCCCAGAGGGGCAGCATGGGCAGGAGCCCTTGGTCATGCAACCCCAAACCCGGGGCCTCTGGGGTCACCCCTTCTGGGCACAGGGTGGTCCTGACAGGGCCTGGGCCCTCCACGCCTTCTCCCACCTGAGCCCCACGGCCCCCTTGGCCCCCACCTCCCTGGCATCCTCGACAGCCTGTTTGCCCCCAGCTTCTTAGCTTCTTCCAGAACCCCTTTTCCTTACCCAGAAGGCTTTGCAATTATAACTCGTGCTCACTGTTCAAAGTGGCAGGTGCCTAATCGGAGCTTCTCTAGCATTTAAGTCACACTCTCAGTTTTTGAACAAGACAAACAGTTTAAAATCTCAAACCTTAATGCGTCTCAGAAATGCGCCAACTTCAGAGCAGGGGTGTGTTTTACCCTGAGTGGCTAACACAGCAAAGAAGGAGGGCTTTATGGCTTTAAGGGTGGGCGTCACAGGAACTGTGACAAGCTGACTAGGAAGTACCCCAGGATTAAAATTCAGGTCACAGTCACAGCTGTTAGTTTTGATTCTGCTTTTCATGCTTCCTTTGGTTATAAGCTTTTGGAAGAGAAAGAAGTTTCCATAAAAGAGACCATCTCCCCCTCCCAGTCTCCTGCAGGCCCCGGGGTGGGGGGCAGCGCGTCACACCCACAGGCTAACACAGAGGTCAGCGAACCCAGGCCCTCCACCGACTGCCCCCTCACCAACTGAGCCACCATCCCAGTTGGGGACAGACAGGGAGGAGCGGGTGGAACCTGCCGGGACCGCTGTGCTGCCCCCCACCCCGTGGGTGCTCCCTGTCCCCTAGGGGCCTGGCTCTCAGTCTGAAAACTGGGGTTTTAGTAAAGTTATACCAACAGCCACAGACTGACAGGGAGCACATTCTCAGTGTGGCAGGGATCCCAGTTGCCCCGCTGTCAATAACTCACAGAAAGTCCCAATGATTGTACTAGAAAACTGACATTGTATTCACTAACAAACGTGCAAGTTTAAAAAGTACACATACCCTCTGCTTCGTCCAAATTAATTTTCTGATATTTTTTTTTCCCAATCTTTGCAATAGATTCTTCTCTCTTTGAAAGCCGGGGATCCCTAGCATTTTTTCCATTTTCTCCTTTTATTTTAATAGAATTAGACTTGCCTAGTGTTCTCTCCTCTCCCTGCATTAGAAGGAAAGTCAAAGTTCTACTCACATTTCAGACACATGACAGCACACAGTTCATCAGTCACAGACAGAAAGGGTCTCTGAGGCACAGACTGCATTGACAGGCGCCTACACACGCAGGCAGCAGTCGCCACAGCAAAGATTCACAAAGCAGAGCACGTAAGACACAAGAGCCCACCACGGGGGAAGCAAGCGGGCATGTCACAGGTCACGGGAGCAGGCCCCGGAGGGGACGTGAGAGGACACCCAGGGCCGGGGACAAGCGGGCGGGCCTGCGAGGAGCAAGGACGCCATGCGGACCAGGGTGGGGGCATTACCGTCGCCGAGAGGCTCCTGGAGCTGGAGCTCACAGCCATGCTCTGCTTGCCCGGCGTGCCTTTCTGTTTATCTGTGGACCCTGAACACAGTGAGACAGCTCTGTAGTCACAGCGAATCGCAAATCCACCCGAACATTTAAATACCATCACGCTCACACTGTCTGTGCGAGCAGGGCTGCGGAGAAGATGAAGCGTTAGCTGCCCTTACCTAACAGGCACAGACAGCCCAACGCCCAGTCAGGACAAAGGGACAGGTCCAGCCTCTTCAGCCGGCCTGCTCACCTGGCAGCATGGCTGGGTGGGGTGGGGTGGAGACAGCACAGCAGCTTTACTACATGGGGACTTCGTAGAGGCGCCGCAGCGGAAAAGCTCATTTCATGGACTATTTGGCATGAATATTCTTTGGAAAGTGGAGTCACATATTTTGAAAGACAGTTGTGGCCCCAAGTCAGGGCTGCTGTCTGGCCTCCGTGGGCGCTCGGGGCCCACGCTCACGTCTCGAGCCCGATTTGGCTGGAGGAAGTGCACCTGCCACAAGCAGCTGCTCAGACACATGGCACGGCCTGTCTGCAGCCCCTCGGGCAGGCTCACGGGAGGTCCACCGCGTCAGACCCGGAGGGCGGGGCTGCGAACCCATGACCTGCCCAGGACGAGGGAGCACAGCTTTCTCTAGAAGCAAGGATGGCCTGGGGAGAGGAGCAGGAGCTCCGAGGGCAGAGAGGCCACTGCAGCAGGTCACCCAAGGGGACAGACATCTCAGAGCTGAGCCAGCCTTCACAAATCATTTGCTACACAGCCCTCGCTGGGCCCAAGCCCCAAAGTTGCCTCAGGCAGCTCCTTACAAAGCCACCTCCTCACCCAGATAATCATAGATGGTTCTGGAAAGCTCTCTCCAGGAGCCACGCCCCCACTGCCCTCCACTCAGAAGGAGCTGAGGTCCCTGAGGCATGGGGGACTTGACTGAGGCCTTGCTGACAACGCTGCCAGCCCTGAGGTCAGGCGCAGGGCTGTGGGATCCCAGCGTACCCAGGGAGCATGTGGCCGAGGCAGGTGTGGGAAGGGCTCTGTAAGCCACCTGATTCTGGCACAAAGGGACAGTGGGACCTCAGACACCACCCAGTCTGCAAGGAGGGCAGCAATGCTCCCAGAGAAGGGAGACCCAAAGCCTTCCAGGGACAGAGTCCTCTGTAGTTAGAGCCCTCAACACCGGGCGGGTTGGAACCTTGGAGCAATCTGGGGGGATTGGGCAGGGCCTGTCACCTGAAAACATAGGCTCAGGAAGGTCCTGCTTGTCCGGAGGCACATGGCTTCCGGAGTGAGGCCCTCGTGCTCCTGGTCCTGGTGTCTCCTGCTCAGTCAGGGGCTGGACTCGTCCAGGCCCCTCAGACGCCCGATAGGGGCTGAGCTCTGCCACGGCAGGGGTCACCAGGCCCCGTGAGACCCTAGACCCAGCTGAGGCCATGTGTGCTGGGCAACAGGGCAGGGGGCTTTCAGGAGGCAGGGAAGGGCAAGTATCAGGGCCTCACCCACCTTTTCCTCTGGAGGGGTCCCTCTCCTCCAAGATGACCCGCTGTCCATCCAGACTCGATATGGGGGCACCGAGGTCTAGGGGCTCTTTCTCTCCACTCTAGAGGCAAAGATTGTGTGCTGAGTAACCCACATGGACAAGAACTTTCCGGAACAGCTGTGTGTGGGCCAGCTGCTGACAGCAAGGCCGTCCCAGGCTTGATGGAGTCACCTGGCATGTGACTCCAGGTCCTGCCACCTCAGCAGGGCTGCCTCAGAGGCCCTCCAAAGGTGCCCAGCCCAAAGGACCTGCTCCCCGAAGGAGGCCAGTGGCCCCAGAGCTCCTTGCAGTGAGGAGACAGCCAACGGCTAATAGGGTCCTGCTTCACACACAACATTCCTGGCTGAAGTGGCCGTATGCGGTCAGTGAAGAGGGTCAGCTGGTGCGTCCACAGAAAAGCCACATGTGTCACAACCCGTTCCACAAGAATCCTCCACGAGGGCACCCCGAGGCACCCAGGAGCCGCAACCCAGCAGGGGAGCGCCCTGGCCACCGGCCAGCCTGAGCCCCACCACAGCCCCATGAGCATGCTATCATGACTAACCTCATGTTACAGATAGGGAAACTGAGGCACAGAGGGATTAAGCGATGGCTTAAGATTTCAACAGAGTGGGCGCAGGGAGGCCCATGTGGAGCCCACACTCCTCTCCGTCCAGTATATCTGGACTGTAGAACAGCGGTGCCCCTGCTGAGCCAGGGGGAGGGGACGTCAGCTTAGTCCCGGGATATCGGTATACTATTTAACAGGGTCTTCTCCTTCACCTCAAAGATCCTGAACAATTTCAGGGAAACTTAAAACACTAAAAATATGTGAAATCATAGCTCTGATCAAGTTTATTTTCTAAAGGCAGACGAATGCACGGCAAACTCTGTATCATAAACCACTGTATTTCAAATCACTGTATATCACAGAGCGTGCCAGACCCAGCAGTGACCCCAACATAAACACGGTCTCGGGTGTCCAGGCTTGCTGACCCACGGCACCTCCCACACGCGCCCTCTAGTTACAGGGATGGCGAACACCGCCCCTGTCCAGCGCATGCGTTCCTTCTGTCCCACAATGTTTTCTTCCTTAACCCACTCACATGGAAACCCAACAGCCCTGCTTGGAAATGCCAGGGAGATGTTTTCATCTACCAGGTGCAGATGAAGCAGGACATTTAACGAGAAGGCGCACCCTTGGCCGTCAACAAACGCCTGGCTCCAGGCTTAGGGCGGGGGCACCGTGGTTTCTGCTCTGTGCTCAGACGTGCAAATCGGGGGCACATTTCCGGGGTTTTAGTTGTTTGTTTCTCATTTTGGTTTCTCTGGACCAAAACCACATCTCAAGTATCAACCCCAATCCCTTTTGGAGTGACCAAGGTAGAAACAACGACCGTTTCCACTCCGTAGGATGAGGAATGAGGGGGCAGAGGCGACGCTGTCCCTCCCACCCAGGCCCCTCGTGGGGAGAAGCTGAGGACTGTGTGACACAGCTGTGCCGTGTGGAGAACTGGAAGCCAGCTGCCATGGCAGACAGGTGCTGAGCTTGCTCCCAGGGAACAGGGCTGCGGGCGGGGGGGGGGCAGTGGGACGGTCACTCACCAGCCTGGCCACCAGCTCACCCAGGTGCAGGCCATATTTGGCCACCACAGGTCGCAGCACCTCCGTGACAGGCTTGGTGGGCTTGGCCTTGAGTCCCACTGACCGGTTAATTGGAACCAGATCCAACCTGGTTGGAGAGGGAGAAACACGCTACAGACATTCGTCAGCCTTCACTGCGATCGTCCACGTCACGAGCAGACAGCGTGGCACCCACGGGCGCCCTTAGCCCTCGGGGTCACCCGACTCAGGCCCAGGTTCTGGCTGTGGAAGGAAGCCTCCAGAGGCTTCTCGAAGGTTTCCTGTGGGACTGAACATGGGCTGACACACTCGGCAAAGAGCGGACCCGTCCCCACCCCTGGGTGTGGCCCTACTGTGGGTGTGGGACAGGAAGGCCCCTTGGGCTCCAGGTGGCTGCCTACGGCCACCACCTCCCCTTCCAGGCTCATGATGGGGGTTGGCATTCCCTTCCCAGTGACCACCGGGACGCAGAGGCCAGCAGGACAGTCCTCTGAGTGCTGTGTCTCCGGAGCACTAACAGGAATGGCAGCTGCGTTTTTCTTACCGAAACAAAGTTCGCTTTTCCAGGCGCAGGTCCCTAGATGCCAAGATGCTACTGTCCTGATGCAGCACCAGCGGCTTCGGGGCACATGAAAGGGACAGAGAGATGACATCAGACACCAGGTGGGGGCAGGAAGCGCCCAGCAGTGCTGTCAGCACACAGCGGGACGCACAGCTGCACAGGGCTAGAGAGCCACAGGAGAAAAGGCGGCTTCCTGGCTCCCGCGGCAGCACAGGAGGGTCCCAGAGCTGGGCCCGGCCTCAGAACGGTGCCAGCAAGCTGCCTAGACATGGAGCTCAGCGCAGGGTCAGCTGTGAGCAGCGAGCGCCTAACAGCGCCCCGAGGGCAGGCAGAGATGAGCAGGTCCTCTGCGGGGCAAGATCCCCCCTCACCAGCTGGTGCCCCTACAGAGCGGGTCCCCCCCCAGAGCGGGTGCACCATGGGGCAGGTCTCCCTCCCAGCTTGTCCCCCCACAGGGTGGGTCCCCCCATGGGCAGGGCCCTGAGGGTCTTCATAGTCCCAGTACCTTGTCCCCGCCCACCAGGAAGAGGTCCACGGCGGCCCCATTGATGCCGTGCCGCTCGCAGAGCCCGCACAGGACCTCCTTGATGGACAGCCCCGCCTTGACGAGCACCACGCAGGACGTCCCGTCGGGGAGCTGGATGCAGCAGTGCTTGGCGGCCTTGTCCCTCTCAGGTGCCAAGGTCCTGCAGGCCTCTGACTGGGAGCAGGAGACGGGGTTACAGGAAGTGTGCAGGACGCTTCAGAAAGGGCTGTGGCTAGCTAACACGTGTTCACCACGTCGATACGCAACTGCTGTGACAAATCTGCACAGTGTGCTACTGCGCAGCAAAGCCCACTAAGGGGTTGGGGCTTCCACGCTGACACGGGGGACAGCCATGCTGTTTCTGGTCCCTCGGGCACTATATTCAGTCTCACCCTCCAGTCTGAAGGCAAACACCTACAAGGGCCACACTGAGCCAGCTCTCCTACTCAGAACAGGACGGCCCCTTAACACTGCTCTTCTCGGCTGTTGTCTGGACCAGCAGCAGACAGGTCACTGACCCTGAGCTGCCTTCGCCCACCTCAGTCTACAGGACTGGGACCCGTGAGGTGGGCTGGATGACACGCCCAAGTGCCCGAGGCCCGATGCAGTCTGGGAGCCCCTCTGCTGCTTCTTACTATCTTCCCGGCTCCCCTGCCCGACCTCCTAGGACCCGAGGCCCCTTACGAGGGAGAGCCAGTCGGCCCAAGGGAGGAGGCTGGGAGAGGGGCCGGGGGGTGGGCGTAGGGGCGGGCAGGGGCTGTGAGGACCACAGTGAGAGCGGGGCTCCATCCTTTTTGGCTGCTGGCAGAGGGCCCGCCCTGCCTCCGTGAGGGACAGGCCACAGCTGTCTGCCCAGAGAATGCTAACTACGCCTGCCCAGATGAGGACCTGGCCCTGCCCCTCCCAGGCCCTCGGTGGTGGCACGCCTGCAGGATGGGTGGGCAGCGGCTCTGGTGTGCTGGGTCTGCACCTTTCCAGGACAGCAGTGTTTGTGGCGTCACTCACGCGCTTCAGAGCTCAGGAAATCACCAGTTAGCACTTCACCCCAGACCAGGACCCACACTCAGAGGCAGGGCGCGGGCCAGGCGGCGAACCTTTGGGACTTTCTCTGAGTTATGATCTCATTTCCGCACTGGAAATGGCTCCCTACATACACCCTTCTAATGCACTGCTGCCTTAGCGGTCACTTCATTATCACGATCTCCTCCACATAGTCTGAAAACCTTTCACCCAAACATGATTTCAGAAAACTAGTTTATGGGTGCTACACTGATGGCAAAAAGGCCCCAACTATCGCCTTCCCATGGACACAAGTGCTCTGAGGCCCCAAGTTCCGGGCAGTTGTCAGGAGCCACAGCTAGCTGATACCTGGTGAGGCCTGACAGCGCTGGCTGTCGTGTGGCACAAGAGAAGAAGCAGTGATATGCCACACTGACTGCTGCTGGACAGTTTCTAACGAGTAGGACGCTGGCGGCACCTCCCCCATGCCTCCCACCTGCCCTCTCCAACCTGGGGCAGAACAAGCAACCAGACAACCAGGTCAGCGGGCGTGAGGGCCCCTCCCAGCAGCCCCCCCACACACGGGAATGTCTGAGTTAATGGGATGTTCAAACGGTGACACTAGGACAAAGCATCTGCTTTCAAAGATTTTGTTTGTTCTTAATGTGAGTTCAAAAAAAAAGTAACTAAATGAGAACAGAAAGATTTCAAAATCAACCCAGAAATATTTTTAGTGCTCAAGGAGCACCCCGCTACACACACCTACCAATGGCTCTGCACCCTGTTCAGAAGCCCCATCCCCCCCCGTCCCCAGAGTACTCAGGTTTTGTACTCGTGGGCTCTTGGTGACTAGACCCTGAGACAGGCTCCATGAGTCAGCGTGGCCTTTGGGCCACGGACAGGCCGTGACTTACCAGGTCCAGGCTCCCTGCCGAGGACACGGAGCCCTGTGACTCCCTGCGGCCCAGGCCTCCGTTGGCGTGAGGAGCGTCTTGATGGGGAAACACAGCGACTCAGAAAATCAAACCGCGCTAGCTTCACTTAATACAGAACCCCACTCATTTGGTCATGTCTCCCAACCTCCACCCCCTTCAGGCTGAACGAAGGGCAGAAGGCAGACAGGGAAAGGCCTGTCAGAGGTGCTGCCCTACCGCCCCAGGACGCGCTGCAGCCAAGGAGCCGACCAGGCCGCAGACATGCTGCTCCCTGCTCTGTCCTCGGCCAGCCCCCCAGAAGCCCTGCTAGCTCAGAGCAGCTCGAAACACAGCACCTCCCTTCCCTTCATTCATCTGGAACTTTTATCTCAACTTGTGGTTTCTAGGCCTGAACAGAAACCGGCCCCTGTGACGGTCACCACATCTTTACCAATGGCTCTGTCACATCTTCCTGCAAAGTCCTAAAGTGCGCCAACAATTACCACCTGTGGTCGCCACCTGACGTGTGACCTTAGGCTAACCTGAAAATCATGAAAGCTCTGATCTAGAAAGGCCCTTCCAAACAGGGGGCCTACTTCCCAGGCATGCTGCTATGCCGGGCTCGGGGACTGCGGCCGGGCGGGCGAACACAGGGCCCCCACGTCCCACTGACCCACCTCCACCTCCCCAAAGCAACAGATTGCTAGACGACCGAATCCAAACTCCTGGGCAGTACCCTGGAACCAGGATTAAAGCTCTCTAAAGATCTGCCAGGCATGGGGACCCCAGCCTCCATGATCCTGCTCGGGGGGACAGACTGTCTGAGGTGAGCATTACCCGTCTCCCAGGCACTCGGGGGTCCCTGGCCCTGTCTAGCTACACAGCTCCCGTCCCCCAGGTGGTCTCACTAACTGAATTCTACAACTGTCTGCCTGTCCTCATGAAAGGACCTGCTCCTGTCACTCACAGCGTGGCTGGGGTGGGGGTCGCAGATCTCAGGCCCACACCCCCTGAGCTGCCTTCTGTAAGAAGGCATGTAAGACCTGCGCAGGCTGCTCTGAGGAGATAAAACACACACCACAGAAACCGCTCAGCACAGCGCAGGCTTGTCCCGGTCAGGAGCACGCCCGGCCCCTCCCTGGGCTGCCCCCTGCCTGTCCTCTCTCCAGAGGGGTCACCAGCTGATCTACACATAGGACCACAGGCCTGGGGCTGTCAGGTTATTTCCTGGAAAGTAATCCCTTTCTTAAAAAGCTCTACAGAAGAAAACCCTGGCAAGCCCTTCCCTCGGACGCTTTAAGAGCCTAGAGTGAACAGCTCCACCCTTCTGTCTCCCTCAGCCACCTGTGTCTCTCACACTAGCTTCTCAGGTACACACAAGAAGGAAACTAAGGGGAAAATATCTAGGACGGGTGATCTTTAAGATTGACAATAATAAAAAATTACAATTTTGAGAATGCTTCTAGCCAAACTATGGTACTGCATTTAAGAAAAATCACAGAGGCTGGCGTACGCCTACACATGCCCAGAAGGCAGCTAGGCAGAGAAACAAGAGGCTGTCCTAGGTGCACAGGCGGCAGGCATTTGGGTTTTCTTCTTTTTACTGGGTTGCATTTTCCACATTTTCTCCCAGAGCACTTGCTGCCACTCAAGCAAGAAGAGTGCAGGAGAGCAGCAGCCAGGGCGGGGCCGCCGGGCAGTGGGCGTGCAAGCCCAGCTTTTCAGAAGCCCCTGAAGCCCCCACTCTGCTCTCCTTACCCTGCCCCTGAAGCCACGCCTACAAGCAGCCGCGTCCCCACTGGCCCCGCCCCCAGGAGAGCAGCCTCACCAGGCCGCTGGCCCCCCATCTGCACACCACGAACCGTTTGCATGGTCACTGTGGTCCTTCTTCTTCTGGGACCGCCCGGTGCTCCGGGTCCTGGACCAAGAAAAAAAGGCTCCTTTTCGTTTCTTCTCGCTGTCCTCGTCCCCCAAGTCTTCATTCAGGGATCTTCCAGACTTTGATTTTCCACTCAACTGTCCCCAAATGGAAAAGGTCGTTAAAATCAGGAAAAGTTACTTTAAAATGACATGAAATGCAAAAGGAAGCTGAAGATCCTTCAAGGCCAGACCCCTCCCCCATCCCGCAGGAAGACGCATCCTGGAAGGTCACTGCGGGTGATGGAACAGGGACACAGGCACACGCCCTGCCCCACAGGACAGCCTGCTCCGAGGAGACGAGCGAAGGGGACCGAGGCACCTTTTTTGGCGTGGACACATTGGAGTGGTCGGAGCTGATGCTGTGCTTGGAGGCAGGGCTGCTCGGCACCTGCTGCGCGTCCGGCAGGGGGCGACCCTCCACCTCCGCCAGGATGCACTCCTGGTACAGCTGCGACTTCAGGAAGCGCGTGTAGCTGTCAAACTTCATCAGGTTGAAAATCTGCGGGGTAAATGCAACGCGCCTCTGTTACACAAGTACCTAGAGACTCAGCCCTGGAGGTTCAAGGTCACAGCGGGGACCTACAAACACCCACCAGCCCTTTCCTGAAAGAACGTCATTCAGCCCATTTTCTCCACCCACCTGCCCCAGAGTTATTTTCCAGAGTTCCTTTAAACCTGACTACTCTTTCTTATAACACACCAGCCTTTCCCGCTTAATATCAGCAAATCCCAACAACTTCTACAAAGCCAGCACCACCAGGAGACCCAACGTGCAATCTCGGAGAAGATTTACTTTGTTAAAAATGAACCCCAAGCCCCTGGAATCTAAAGGAAGGGAGGACCGTGTTGAAAATGCTTCCTCTATTTTTTTTTACATCATTCATATGACTTAGCAACAGAAGTAATCTCTGGTAAGGCTGGTGGGACGTGCTCTAATAACATTAGGTCCCAGGCATTCTTCTCATCACAGGGGTGTCCTGAAATTGAAAGACATCCACACATGTGCATGTATCACCCCATGAAGCTGTGGTTTCACATGGATGCGGGAGTCAAAGTGTCACTGGACAGGCCATGTGCAGGTGACCACGCCATGGGCAGGCCCTCGCACCTCACGGCCCCACTGCAATCCGCAGGCTCTGTCGGCCGCGCTCTGAGACAGAAGCCCAGTGGGCAAGACGGGTCCCTGCGACCACACCTAGCCATCGGCGTCTCCCTCTCCCTGCTGGCACTTGGGAGCTCACGCTGTCGGACCTGAGCCCTCTGCCCCGCGCCCGGGCCAGGAGGCCCTGCAGGAACTGGGGGCATGGTGTCACCTGGAGCTGTTGGTCCTTGAACATGTCGGGGTGGGGGGCGCTGAGAATGTCGTCTGCCAGCTGGGCCTGGCTGTCAATGTTGACCGGGGTGGTGGCCTTGCTGCACAGGAACTTGCTGAAGATCTCGCGGGCCCTGTAGGAAAGCTGACAGGACAGGGGTATGAGCGGGGCTTGCAGACCACAAGCTCCCTGCATGGGTGTTTTGGGTCGTCATTGCTCTATTCTGAATCCTGGATGTGGTTCCAGGCTCTGGAGAGGCGTTTTGGCACCAGGGGTGCCAAAAAATGTCTGCAAGTAGACACTTTGGCCAGCGCTGCTCAAGAGTAGTTCACTGCAATCAGAAGTGTCTGGACGCTGATGGTAACCATGTTGAGCACCTCTTGTAACTGCAGAAGTCAAACGTGACTTGTATTCATCTTTTGTTATTGATCTATATTGAGTATCACAATTTTAAGTTTTTTCCTTTCTCAAAATGTGTATACATGTTTTTGGCACCCTCTGTATTTCCTGCTTGAGTGAATAAATACAAGTAGAAGCCAGCGTGGAACTTTTCACCAAGTCGGCTCCTCTCGTAAGTTTTCCCAGTGGGCCCTCACATGTCCCAAGGGCTTGGGCACCTGCGTGTGGTGTGTCACGCGGCGTGCTCCTGGGAGGGGAAACTCGGTCCGTGCAGCGCTGGGTGTGCAGTAGACGGGGCCTCGCCGATGGAGGCGCAGGCTGCCGCGGAGCAGGGGGCGCCGTGGGCCAGGACGGCAGGCACCAGCGGGGCACACCTGCCGCTCACACACACGTGAGGTGGGGCCGCACAAATGGCCTCCCCGATGCTCTTCCCGCAGTCGCCCATAAGTCCCCCTTTCCACACCCTGAGTGGCAGCACGTCGGCTGATGCAAGTTCGATAACTAACGGCATTTATGCAAACTACATTTATGCAAAACTAAATATCGTGCATATTAAGAAACTTATTCTGAAAGGAAGTGTGTTGTAAATGATGTGAAAATACTTCACACGGACTTTTCCAACTACACTAGCTGCTGCCCGCTGTGAAATCACCCTGCCCATAAGCTCCCCACTTCCCAGAGGGCCAGACATACCTCTTTTTTGTCGTGTGCAGGAACATGATTAAAATATTCACAGGCCTGCCAGAATAAAATGTTCTCTTCACTGAATTCCTTCCGGAGAAAATCCTAAGGAAAACACCATCAGTCAGCCTCACACACAGGACAGGAGAAGGTAAGTCGGCAGCTCCGGGGGTCCTGCCCTGCCTGGAGCTCCGGCGGGTTCCCCGTTCCTACTGTTTCCCAGCTTCCCTTTCGCAGAAACTGGGTGATAAGCGTGTGTCCGTAGCTCACCCGGGGTCAGGGACATGCGTAAAGCTGCCCCACTGACAGGACTGCTTTGGCATCCACAGCTGTGTCCCTAAGAGCTGAGCACCCCTAAACTGCGGGACCTGCCGCTGCGTCCCTGGCATCCAGGCAGTCAGAAGCAGCTCAGATACTCCTTCCTGCGAGAACTGAGGCCGGGCTGAGCGGGACTCCCTCCGTGGCCTCAGTCCCGAATGTGAGGCTGCACGGTGAGCCCCTCAGCCACCACGGCCCCGGGGTCTGAGCCAGCGTGCTGAGGCCTGGGCATGGGTCCTGCTGGTCCTCCATCCCACGCCCGGCCCTACTCACAGAGAAGTATCGGACACCGAGCGGGTCCTGCAGGAGACGCTCGAAGGACACGGCCCAGCTGGCGACCCTCCTGTCGCGCAGGCGCCGGCAGCTCTGCACGCTGGGGAGGCTGGCATTGCTGCTCAGGCTGTGGTTGCTCACGCAGTCCTTCCGGTCGGCGCCGCTCAGCTCTGTGGGGAACCAGCACAGACCTCACTTGCACGTGTGCCCGCCACACCTGCCCGCAGGACTCGGCCAACCTCGTGAGAGGCCACGGGGGCTCTCACTAAGGGTCTTCTCGAGAACACGCATCCAGTCACGCACATGCACTGAGCATCCCCAGTGCTGTTCTGGGCGCAGGGGACAGCACAGGACAGGACTAACCTGGCCTCACGCGGCCACACACAGCCACATGCGCACACTATGCGGAAAGCATGGCAGCTACAACCAAAGTACGACAAGGCTGCTCGTCACAAAGCCAGGACACAGCAGGGAGCTTCCGGGGGGTCCGCCTGTGAGGCTCGGCGGGGCAGGAAGTCAGGGCTGGTCACCGTGGGCGAGCAGAGCGAAGGGGCAGGACCGGGGGACACTCACAGCTGGGCTAGTCTCAGTGTGAAATGTCCACTCGTAATGTCCACATGTGAGGATTTCAGCACACGTGTCAGTGTGACAACTCAATCCGAGGCCACCCGGATGTGGCAAATGTCACGTGTGCCCCAGGAGGTTTGCTCCTGACTCTGAACAAGGCACTGAACAGCCTTGGTTCCCACGATCTTTAAGTGATCTCGTGATCATCTTCCCTTTATAAAGTGGGGGGGGAGGCCCCTGGGGAAGCCCCACCACCCTTGCCACCTCGTGTGAGCAGCCTGGACGTCCGGAGCCGACATGAGCAGGCCTGGCCCAGCAGGAACGGCCACACATTGTGAAGAGCGCCACGCCCGCCCCTGGTCCTAAGATGAAGACAGGACCCGGGGACCCCAAATCTGTGTGGGTGTGGGGCTTGGCTTCGGCGAGTTAGCATGGCTCTGTGGAGCAAAGCTGACTAATAACATAGTTTCACATGTTCCCGTGTCGCTCTCCTCTGTCCCGCTGCCCACTGTGCCCTGTCACCTGTGTGGAGTAAGCTGTCTGGGCTGGTTGTGGTGAGGAGTCACGCGGACTAGTTAACTGGCTTCAGCTCCAGGCCAACCGTTTAAAAGGCATCTTATTAGTGACAGGGGACCAGCGGTGGGAGACGACTAGTAAGGGTGGAAGGCCAATGGAGCCTCGTGAATCCCTTATGGGACAGAGGTGACGCTAACCTTAGATTAAATCCCCTCACATACGTGCTGACAATGGCGGGCAGAGGCCGCCCTGCGGCTGCCATGCCCACAGCCCAAAAGGAGGGCAAGCCAGAGCCCCAAGGGTGGCAGAGGCCATGGCCCAGACCCCGCTCGTCCAGGGAGAAGCGGGCCTGTGGGGCGAAGGCAGCAAAAGCAGGAGTTTGAGCGAGCCGTGCTGGTGTGGTAACGGGTGTGGTAACAGTGTTGACGGGATCCACTTGGAGTTCTAAAAGCATTTAGATTAGAAAAGAAGAGAAAAATAGAAGGTCAAGAGTAACCAAGTGACTTCACCGCTACAGAAAAAATTCACACGAGAAGTTGTGGAAGATCAGAGGACAATTTTAATTTCTCCTTGAGCTTCAATAGGACCCACCGTGCCATGTGTGTTCTGTTTGAGATAAAACACTCGTGACAGTCCGCCACCAGTCTCAGTGAGGACTCAGGGGAAGGCTGACTCTGAGCCGTCTGGAAGATGCACAGCCCGCCACAGGACGGACATTTCCAGAGCACACCAGTCAGTGACCAGCAGGACAAGGGGCCACGCGGGGCCTCCACAAAGCTCAGCCATCACGTAGACGGAACCATCTGGAAATGCCTGGCCTAAGAATCCGACCTACAGAGCTTGCCCCTGTGGAAAGCTCTCCGTGTTACACGTACAGGACTGTGGGCAAAAAGGGGTTGTTCAGAAAGTGACCTCACATGGGATCTGATCACAAAGTCCTAACTGGCCTCATGCCCCAGACCGCTAGCTTCTTCAGTGAAAGAAGCACTGAAGGGGCTTAAGCAGCCCCATCCATTATTTCTGTGCAGCTGGGCTAATAGCCTTTTTTTTTTTCTTAGAATTTTTTTTTTTAAGATTTTTATTGGGGAATTGGGGGGATGGGAACAGCGCTGGGGAATTGGGGGAAGGGGAACAGACAAGCCGCTGTCATTTTGTTCTTCAGTCTAGTTGTGGAGGACGTTGCTTCACTGGCCCAAGTTGGCACCATCACTGCGCTCTTCCCGGGCAAGGCACATCAGTCACCAGCTTCTGGACGGCCGCTCACGTTGGCTGCTGGCTACATACGGTAGCCCATGGCAACCCACCTGCAGTCGCCGGCGACTCACGGCAGCCCAGCTCCAGGTTGAGCTGTTGTTCAGCATCTTAGCTGTGGAGGGCAGTGTCACTGGCCCTCATATGTGGGATCCGAA